AAATGTTCTACATATTAAAAAAAAAAAAAAAAAAAAAAAAATTTGAAGTATTTAAATGAAGTATGACATTTTAAAACTAAATTCAGAATCTTACAATACTTCTGTGAATATCAGAGTAGTTGCATTTGCTTTGGTTTTAATTGAACTAATTTTATACAAAGCAAAGTTCAGCAAATCTAAATAAATCTGATTTAAATCATTTGTTGGAATATTAATTTGCCAGGATTTTTGTTCTCCCCCGTATGCGTCATCTGAGTTTGTGTTCGATGGCATACTGATGCACGTCTAAGAAATGTGACGAGTTGAACTTTAAAAAAAGAGAACGTTTCTGGCTGGAGGATTTCATGGGAAATTCACGAGCAAGTCGGTTTTATTTTTAAAGAAAAACTGCAGGTCAGCTGTGTTATGATCTATGACCTTATTATTTTTATTGTGAGTATTAGGCTTATCACTGTTGTTGTGCTATGTTATTGTAATATTTACCATTATATAATCAGAGGAGTATAGAAAAGTTTATGAACGTGTCACTCCACAATACAATAGCAAAATATATAAATATGTATAGTATTTTTATGTTACATTAATCAGTGTCTAGCACACCTTCCTAAGGAAAGGATATGGACCAGAAGACATTGCAATTATTAATGATATTTAGACTTAAAGAAGTTCCAGATCTATACTTGTGCTCTTAATATTTCAGTTATTTTGACTTTCATGTAAATAAACGTGCAAACAATATACTTGCTCTTGTGAATTTATTTGGATGTTAATTACATTGTGCGAGCTGTCTCTTTAATACCGCGTGGTTTATATACATGCTGCTGCTGATTGGGGCTGACATGTTTGACACACCCACCAAACAAGAGAAAACACATCTCAAACCCCGTTGCACACCGTTTCCAGGAAACATGTCGTTCAAACCGGAAACCGTAGCAAAACGTTGCACACCGGTTTGAGCTTGAACGTGCCCCTGGTCTCAAACTTAAACTGAAGGTGACAGGAAGTGAGAGCATGGAAACAGGAAGTGGCCTCACCTGGAGTCTGGCTGAGAATATTGTTATTAATCAATACAACGCAAATCATGTGTAAAACGGCTGTGAACTCACGCAGGCATGCTGAAGCAGGTGCTGATGTGTTCTCATGTGACACACAAAGTGAAATATTCTTAAGTAGTCCAGTTAGTTCCTCATTCGCTTTTCATTTCGGTTTTTTAATGTCACTGCAACACTCGTCTAATGTTCAAAGGGGCTTCCAGACATCTACAGATCATCACATCTTATGCCAGAAGTAAATATATTTCATTAACTAACAAAATAAATAAATAAATAGTATAAATAAAATTAATAAATATAGTAATATTAAAGGGGTCCTATTTTCCGCAAGTTGATATGATTCTTTAGGGTCTTAATGAAAAGTCTGTAACATAGTTTAGTTAAAATTTCTCAATGGTAGTGTAAAAACACATTTTTTACCCTGTCAAAAACAGCTCTTTTCAGATCAAGCCGTTTTGTAGCATTTCCCTTAAAAAAAAAGCACTGGGTGGATTTTTATCATTATAGGATGGTTGTGTACACACACTGCCAACACACATTTCAGTTCAAACAACTTGTAAAAGTGCATGTAGCATCATATGACCCCTTTAAGTAAATGGAAATATAATAAATAAATAAATATAAATAAGCAAAAATAAAGATGGAAATAATTAAAAAATAAATAAGAAAACAAATAAAAAATAAAAGTAAATAAATAGAAGATTAATAAATACAAATAATAAATAAATAGAAAACACAAAAATAAAACAATAATAAATTAATAAATTAAAACAGTAGTAAATATTAAATAAAAATAAGAAGGTACAAATTAAAAATAAATAAAAATGTAAAAAATAAAGATGGACATAATTACAAATAAAAAAAACAAATAAAAAAGATGGAAGTAATTACAAATAAATAAGAAAAGTAAAAATACAAAGTAAATAAATAAAAATTAATAAATACAAACAAACAATAATAAAATACAGTAAATAATATACAAATAAATAATTTAATCTGTGCCAAACTAATAAATAAATTACAACATTTACAACACAAGTCTCTATTTGCTAGCATCTCAACTCAAATTTAAAACAATTAGGCATCAAAAATCAGTTTTAAAATATGAATGATTGTGAAATGTGTAAGCAAACGGTAAAAATGCATGAAGAGGATTACAAACTATTATTAAATTCATGATTAAAATGACAGACTTGTATCTTCTGTGAGCTGAATGCATGAGACTTTAAGACAGTGTTTATTAATAAACTACATTGAGAAAAATCGATTCTACCTCAGATTTTAACTCAGAAATTATTTACAAATAATTGAAGAGAAACAACAACACATTAAATTAAACATAATTCGGAAATTGAAAGACTTAAATAGTATTTTCTAAAATGTATTCCAATGATCTTTGTTTTATTTACATTTTTACGATGTATAAATAAATGCCTTAATAACCAAGTTCCTAAGTTTCTTTTTATATTGTATGTCAGTTGGATTGTGCGTTTCATTTTAAAAATCTATTTCAGTTTATATTTCGTGTCAGTTTTATTTCACTTTCTGTTCATTTTCATTTTATTTCTTCATTTTATATAAAGTAACAAAAGTTGTGTTTTTATGGTTTTGGTTGTAGTTTTAGTTAACTGTAATTAATAACCCTGATTCACATCATGAGTTTATGATATTAGATTGAAATCAGTAAAAAAAAATCAAAATATAACCTAAATGTGCATCTCAACATGGACTTGTTTGCAGTAAAAATAAAGACAAAACAAAACAAAACAAAACATACATTTGAATTCTTTAATGATCTTTAATATACAAATACCCTGTCCAACAGAGACATAATGTGATTTAAATAATCATGTAAATTATTTGACCATATATAACCATCACAAACAACAAATCAATAGCAGTGTATTTACATTTAATGCCAAACTCTGCAGTTTCTCAAAGCCACAAGCTTCAGAAATCACCGTCCAGGCTTGTCTGGAGGAATAGAAATGTGCAAATGTTGATCAGAACTGAAAGCATTGAAGGTCACGAGGAACGGGTCTGATTCAGATTAGAGAGCTCTCTCGGTCTGTGCTCCTGAACGTTCGCCGGCTGTTTGGCGTCGCTCCGCCGCCTCGATGCATCGCTCTCGCGTCCCGGGACGCCGCTCTGGAGCTGCGAACCCCGGCGGAAGAAACCCTGCGGCTGAGATCCGGGTCTCCTCGAGGGTCCATGACGGCGTTGATGACTGAGAGAGACACGAGAGAGGACGGCGTTCATCAGCGGCTCGTCTCAGCTTTAATATCAGATCAAGAGAAGATCTACTGACCTTCCAGCTGTTTCTGGACTCTCCGCAGCTCTTTCAGAATTGATGCAATCTCCTACAAGACGAGCAATTCAGTAATAAAAACATTAGATATGAACCAGGGTTATTATTATCTAAAACCTTTAAAAAAAAAGTTTAAGTTACTTGAAATTAAACGTTAAGTGAATTAAAAATAACATCATATTATTTATTATTTCTCATTTTTGTTTCATTTAACTTGAAGCAAGGTAATTAAAACAAACATTTTTTGTTACTTGAAAAAAATAAGACACACAAATTAAAACTAAATTTTTTAAAAATTACAAAAAGTTTAAGTTACTTGAAATTAAAACGTTAAGAGAATTAAAATAAAATTTAAACGTATCATATTTATTATTTCTAATTTTTGTTTAATTTAACTTGAAGCAAGGTAATTATAGGTAACTAAAACTGAAACTAAAATTAAAACCATTAAAAAAAAATTTTGTTACTTGAAATAAAATAAATGTGAACTAAAATGAAAATAAAAAAAAATATATATAATAATAATAATAATAAAATATTTCAGCTAGTTGC